TACAAGCATCGTGTAATATAATAGTCATTGGTTCTTAAGAGATATATAGATAATAATTCAAGCATCGTGTAATGTAATAGTCATTGGTTCTTAAGAGATATATAGACAATAATGCAAGCATCGTGTAATGAAATAGTCATTGGTTCTTAAGAGATATACAGTGTGTATAAAAAAAATGCAAACACAATACAAGGAAATGCCAGACGTAGAATGTGTAACCAACATAGATAATATAGGTATGGTTTGAAAGATACACCTTTCCACTATAAAATGAGACATTAAACGTCCAAATATGATAATTTTGACAGAGTTATGAGTAGTTTTCCAAGAGAGGTCTAATTGACCACGGGATTTTAGGCATTGGGGCAAAGGTAGCCTAATTGCCTCTGTGTGGATATTTACCTTGCCTTCAAAAATGTGTTTTGCGAGTAAACACAATTCTAAACACTTTCTTGCCATCACTTCATGCTGAAAATGTTGAGCATGCAAACATATTTACAAACTAATAGCAAGAAAGTGTTCAGGATTGTGTTTACTTGCTTAAAAATGGCGTTTAGAGTATAAACACATTTCTTAATACATATCTTAAATTGTTTCACATGTTTAGCACACGATAGTCGACATGTTTAGATTTTGCATTTAGATGTTAAAATTTTGAGATGTTTAAACGACTTTCGAATAATGTCTGTTGTTCATTATAGGTTTCCAGAAAGTAACTGCATATTTACAGACTTTAATGGGATTTAACTTATTTCACATTAGAATGTTCAAATGCTACGCTATGCCTAACCAACCATGCACTACATACTAGAAGTTGTCGTGGCTTAATTTTATATTCAGCTTTTCCCGCCATGATGGAGTCACGGTTTCACCATGAATAATTTCAATACTTAAGTACGAAAAGAGATTTAATGCGATTTTACACTGATGTTTGCCAAAAATCACAGTACTTTGTTTAATATTTTTAACTTGTCAACTGAGGCTTTATCGCTGGTGATGTTTGAAGACAATTGTGACGACGATTCTTGAAATCGCATTTTTGGACGAGAGAGGTTCTAGGGTAATTGCATTTAAATGGTGATATAGTTTGAACGGATTGAGCAATTTTATTATTTTTTTCGTCTAAAAATAGTTTATGAAATTGGCTTTCAAGTCACTATTATTTTTGGTGCTACATATTTTTTTTAAAATAAGAAATATATTTTTGGGGGTTTGGATTCCGTTTTTTTTTTACTCACCCTGTATTTAAAAAAGAAAGTTTTACACAACAGACCTAGATCTTTTGTAAGCTTGTTCACGTGCACTTAAAAAAATGCACCTGTTTTTCTACACTAATATTAAATTGATTTTGCAGCGTAGCGTTGTGCACGCAACGCTACGTGTATTCAATCGGTAGATCGCTTAAACCGCACGCTGGGGAGGGGTACTTCTTAAGACGAATTGCAATGCTTGGGTGGTTTCCTGAGGAGATCTGGGGCAATGCACTTTACGTTCCTGGACTGCACACCCTTGCAAGCTGTTCATGGTGCGAAGCTTATGGAAGAGTTAGTGTTGATCTGGTACACGGTACCCTGTGGAGACATGTGCACAATAGGGAACAAAAGATTGTATACGTCTCCATAGAGCAATTTCTATAGGTGAATACGTCTCCACAAGGTATCACGAAACAGATATATGGATTTTACTCAAACACTAGGAATTTCAAAGGTGTGTTGAAACGTCGCAAATTGAAATATTTTATGTAAGGGATATTAAGTCGGAATTTCAGCCCAGGAAATTGATTCTGGTTAAAATAGGAGCATTTTGAAAGTACAATTTCATAATCGAAAACTTTAGTACACGAGAACAAAAGAATTAATCCACAAGGATACAAATTCCAGTATGTGGAAACCACTGCAAGAATCCGTCAGGATTTGGCTAAATTCCTCTTGAAGAGAACGATTTTCTCAAACCGACTCGAACGAACTGAATACTGAATTGCAAAACGAAGCCGCTAGAAAAACATATCCGCATTATATTTCTCCTGTCATAGAGAGGGGCTCTCTCGGCTTTTAAATGATATTGATCAGAAGACAGGTGAATCCACATTAATTTCATGATAATCGTCAGATCATACCGTCAATTTCACCGCAGGTGTAACCGATGTAATGCTTCATATGTTTGTGTAAATTGTCCATAGTAAAGCCAGTGGGCAGGTACTTTTTGGTTTGATCGGACACTGCTAGGTGCAGGGCGGTGGAACCGGGGGAGGGGAGCCCCCCGCCCCTCCCCCCTCGCCGATTTTCCCCAGGCCAACAAAAGTGCCCCTCTCGCGGTTATAAATGTGCCCCCTAGAGATGAAACAAAACTGCCCCTCAAACGCACATGAAATATGATCGCGCTACAAATAAAATTGTCTCTTCTCTTGTAATGGAAAACTGCCCCTCAAAAACACAAAATACTCCTCTCGCAGTAATAAAATTGTGCACTCTCTCGAGATGGAAAATTGGCCACCAAAAACAATAGTGCTTCTCGCGCGATAACTTCTCGAAATGTAAAAAGCACAATTTTATTAGTGCCCCGCTCGCAGCATTAAAACTGTGCCCCTCTCATGGAAAAAAAATAGTGCTCCTCCTCACGTGAATAAAATGGTCACTGAGCTGGCCATTAAAAGCATCAGTGCCCCTCGATAAAAAATAATTGTCTCTCTACAGAACTAGTCAATTTCATTGGCGAACCCAGAGAGATTACTGCCGTGGCGGAGGGTATGCGATGTGCCGAAGGCCCACGAGCGGATCCAAGGGGGGAGGGTACAACGGGGCCATGCCTCCCGCCCCCCCCCCCCAAAAAAAAACAAAACACGAACCCCAAATTTTTTTTAGAGACGTCACAAAAAAGGTAGCCTTTACGTACACCACAATCTTTTCCTTAAAAAATAGCTTAAAGTAGTCGGAAATCGTTTGTCAAGTGAACTCCAAGGAAATTTCAAGTCGAGATTTGAGTTTAATTTATTTCATTTCGACCTAAAGACGTGCGCAGGCGTAGAAAAGCCTATCGCAATCAAATTACAGATTGGTTGATGCAGTTAGGACGAGTGCAGCCATGCGTAGATTGCATGGAATGCTCTGCTTGGTTAATGAAACAAATCTATGATTCAGCTTTCTGTATATCCATTGGTGAAAAACTTGCGTTGGTGTAAGGATTCTGAGAAAAGCAATGAGTCGAATTGAGGTTTGTATCACTCTGCTTTGCTCTTCTCCACAGCGTCTCAAGATTTGTATTAATTTAGCAATCGCATTATAGGAACCGTAAAATGCTCAGCTGCAAGTGTAAAACAAACTGACTTTTTATTCCGGACGCCTTCATTTGGAGGTGTTTGGATTTAATATAAAGTGTCTCCATTTGTGAGGTGTATCGTCGAGGTCTGCGAGAATACTGTCGATGCCCAAGGGTAATATAATATACATGATATACGATAGCACTAAGAGGCGTTGTCACCTCGCCATCTGCCGTGTTTCTGGGCAGCATTTCTCATCTTTATTAACGGTAGTGTAGGTCGGATCTCAGCTTCTGTATAACACCACTGCATCCCAGGTTTTAAGACCTTACAGTCTGATAAACAACGTCTTCGCTTCAAGTGCTCTGAAAATCAATTGCACTTTCGACCCGGAACCAGAATTGTCAAGAGATTTTGTTTTCTGGCAAGAGATTTATTGAGGAAGCATAACCTCGCACAAATTCATCATACAGGGTTAGTCAGAAAGAAAGTGAACCGGATTAAAGATATTTTTTCTTCTTAAAAGAGCATGTTCTTCCACTCATCTGAAAACTTAAAGATTTACTGAAATTGATCCATGCCATCAGAGGTTTATGCTCGTTTTACCAAAAGAATCCATTCTTACAGCTGTCTATGGAATGCCATTGGAAGCTATTGAGCAATAGTGAGAATTACATATTACACACTGATTTCAAATCCAAAAAAAAAGATTTTAATAATTTAAATGAAGACTTAAAAATTGTTTTTACTGTCAGATTCTGTGTTTTGAATATGAGAAACAAACAAGTCAACTCTTTTTTTCTCATATATTGATGGTGATTATTGTATGTTTTCCTTTGTAAGTTTTCGTTCATTATCGAGGTGGGAAAACGTCCATGTTTCATTGTTCTCAATGGTATTCATCAATTCGTAGAACGGTAAATGATCAGTGATGGACAGCCGAGTTTTGTGATCTTTTATTGAGATAGACATAACTTAGGAATAGAGTATGCAAATTACGTGAAATGTTCACAGTTACAAGTCAATAACATGTACTTCATCCTATGTTTTTGTATAAAACGGAGCAATCTAAATATTTGGGGGAAAAAATGCAAATTCGGTCACTTTCTTTTTGACTCACCATGTACACTATCTCTTAAAATTTGGTTGACATAATGTGAATATTCCTTATTGATATTAACGTCATTCGTGTCCATACTCATGACTTACCGGACAGTAACATGTTCTGCACTTTGTTTTCCTAAATTTTTAATATACTATTTTTGGTTACAATTTACTTAAAACCGTCACGTGTGATCTATTATTGTCAACTGAATCAGAAACGGTGCGCAGCAGCGAGGCGTACTCGGTTTCATTTCGTTCCAGTATCTGCAGCCTGTATTTATATTTTGGTACTTTGTTCGTCATTAACATTAAGTAGCAGTCAATTGGCACAAGATGTTAATTTCGTAAGTGGCTCTACTACAAAAATGTGTGTGAACAATAACAACCACTGTCAATTTTTTTGAGTAAATTGAATATTTTCGGCAAAATTCAGTTCAGTTTAGTTATAAAATTGAAATGTATAAAACTGATTTGAACGTGTACATCTTGGGTTAAATACGTCATAATAGGTAAAATTTAATATTCCCAAACGAATTTAGTTATTGACAACGTGCACACACTGCATATAATACAACAATCACCAGCGTTTTAACAATTCAATACTGCAACATGAAGCTGATCTTTCATAGGAAAATCTTACCTTTTACTCGGCGTGTAGTGTGAGCGAGTCGACATTATATCTAGCGCCGTACATCTCGTCACAATGCCCCACGATGTTTGATTAGATGAAGCACTGACGTTTCACGCTGGCGGACTTTGTATGTTTTGCTTCGTCTGTGTGAAAGCCCCCGTCTTAATTATAGCGGGCGAGGACTGCATGAATTCTGCCTTGCCGTATGACTCACCAAATAACCAGATCTCTCATTGGTCGCTGTGTGAAGTGACGAGACGCACTGGCCAATCGCAGCCGCGGTCTCACACGTCCCTTCCCTGCTTATGTATTCTTGTCTGTCCGTTGCGTGCAATTTTAACATTAGACTTACACACAGCTTTGCATTATTGAGTACATGAGCCTTAATAAAGCCAGCCAGCAAGCGTCTGTCTATATAACTGGCCTCGATTTATTAATTAAATGATGGTGAATATCCTGACTCGGCGATAAAAAATAATTATGTGAAGAATATTTTGTGAGAGGAAAAATCATTGCGAAATGATCGCATTTCATATACTAGCTTGATTATTGCAACCTTTTGTGACGTGTGGAGAAAAGATAATAATTTTGATAAATCTGTAATTGAGGAAAATGTTTCATTTATTTGTTTTGCAGTGCACGGCACTTAACTGTACAATTAATATCAATTCGTTATTTACGTCTTTTGTCATTTTAATTCCATCGAGTGCATCACTCATCTTAACCACGAGATGGCGCTCAAACCGATTCACGAAAGGCAGAGATATGTAAATGCTAGTCTGTCTGAGACACCGCCACCTAAAGTTGGATCCATGGTCGGTTTGATATGCAAGGGCGCCACCATTTCTTAACTAAGCGCGGTTCAGACAAGAGCAAACCTTCGCGGTACCCCCCCCCCCCCCCCGCCTTGCAAACAGGGCGCTGGGAAGGGCCGATGGGCTTCACAGAATCTTGTGGAAGAAGTGTGGTCGGCATTCTGGGTAATTTATCATGACCTGTATATAAAGCATCTGGCTGCAGCTGTTTAAGACCGCAGTTAGCTAATGCGTGCAAATGCTATCCGAAAACTATCTCATAGAAATGTACACATTCCATACCGGATGCGATTTCTTTTTCATTGCAGACCATGTGGACACAATTTTGAGCGTCGCATAATGCAATCATTAATCCTTCGTGAATTCGAATCGGAGCCTGAGCAAGTGACGGGAATTGAAAATTTACAACACAGATAAGGTTTACCGATTTTCTCCATTATTACGCGTACAATTTTCAACGCAAAAAAAAAAAAAAAAAAAAAAAAGGAATGGGAACGAAAGAGTGATGTCTGTTTAAAACCTTCGCATGTCGACTGTGGCCGTGATGACTTGCAGGTCACAGGTCACGCCAAATCTATCCAATCAGAGCGTGAATTCATCAGCCCTTCCCAGCGCCCTGTTTGCAGGGCGGGGGTACGAGCGAAGAGCAAACCTTGTTCCTGTACGCCTTGCAAAGATAGAGGGCGGGCTTCCTGTCAACGTCCGCGAATTTGCTTGGCGATGTGGCTTGCAAATTAACGACTGATGATTTCAAAGCCGTGCAGATGAAAAGAAAGGCCGTAAATTTTTGTTTTATTTCCCATTCACATTGTACTTTGAAAATCTCTATTATCATAGACAATAGAGGATCCAAATGAAATAATGTCGGGATTGTTTTCCTCTTCAATAACTCAAATTGTTGAGGTTGATGACCACTAATCATCCTAAAACGGGCCTTATCAAATTAAATTTCCAATTAGCAAAGTGCAATGCCATTTAAATCAAACTGCAATAGTAAGTGCAAAGTGCGTTGTCAAAGCTTACACATCTTCGTTATCTTTCTAACAGCTTGTTATGTTACAACCATGCTGACAATTAAATGACTCAGCTCTGACGGTGATCGCTGGAACGAATGGATTTATGGTTGCAAGGCGTATACCATTGAGGTAAGTGATTGGCTATTGATTATATCACGTGATAAAGATAATGTTTACGGTAATTAAAATTACGTCAAGTGTCATTGACGTTATGTCGCTTGACATAAAATGAATACATATAGGAATACATTTAAAAAAGTATTGATAATATCGTTTTAAATCTTTAGATTTTAAACACCTTCTCCACATATAACTGAACTGGTTTACATTTTGAAAGGTTCATTCCAAAGTGTAAATATTTTCTATATCATGTAAAAATATTTCTACATTTATCATGTAGAAAACACAACAACATTTATCACTTGGTGAACAAGAACTGTAACAAATGACTGAATTGAAAGTTTGTACTTTGTGGTCATTTTTCGGAGAATCGTTGTGGTCGTGATGCGTCATACTCAAGCGCCAATGCCCGATTGTGATGCGCTGTGGAACTTTCCTCCATATCCATGGGCGTCGCCAGGATGGGGCAAGGGGCTTCCCCCTCCCATCCCCCACCCCCCTATAAAAAGTAAAAAAACAACAACCAGAACCGAAAAGGAGGTATGAAGTCATATTTGCTATTAATTTAATACACGTGTAACAAAACGGTTGTCTGCAGGGGCGGGGTGGATACGTGTCCCCCGTCCACTGATACATTGAGAATATGCTAAAGAAAGTAAAGGATTTTTGGTGGCCTGTGCTTTGCCCCCCCCCCCCCGAAAAATATCTTGGCAACGCCCATGTCCATATCGTCACTTCCCGGCCGCTACACGCGAACATTTAAGTGGGATACTTAACAGTCGGAACCAATAATTATTGCATAACAAACCCAAGTCTGAGCTATGTACACTCTAAAGTCCGAAGACTGTATTAACTAAAACCGAATCATTGATTAATTTGCCTCGCCATAGTGACTTGCTCATTATGCACGGAGAGAGTTCACTCCCAGTTCTCTCCGAGTCCGAGTAAATGTGTCCTTTCCAATAAACACAGCCTGGTATAGCTGCTTGGTCGAAGTCTATAAATAGCCCACCATTCATTAATTAACCATATTAGGATCTGTAGTTTTCTGCTGCCGTACAGCAGGGGTCGTTGTTGCAGGAGGCCGGCATCTGTAGAGTCTATCTTTGTATGGGTCGATGACCTTCTTTTGATCGGAGGTTTGTTAGCCGATTCAGTCGGCTTGTAGTCCAAGGATGTCTTATGATGTGTTGACTTAAAACACTGTCGTGATTCAAATTTGCTGAATTATATTGATCGTGATCGTTTAAGGATTCTTTTTGGCTGCGTCCCGGTATTGAAGCGGTTTCATTAGATTTGTTTTATTTTAGGCCAACATCTTTTTTATTTGATTAGTCTTTAATGTTTAATTCGCGAGATGTCGTAAATAGTCTATAGAGTCTGAAAGTTGACCCCTGGTGGAGCGCTTTCGGGCCCCTCAAATAGGAAAATTAGCGTGTAAAAGTCGGAGGTTGTAAAATAATTTTTGGTACATTGATTTCTTAGGAAAACCTCACTCGGAAAAGGCCTTTGTAAAATTGCTATTAGCATCTCATGACATGGAAGAGAAATATCGTGCCAAAAATTGACCTTTTACTTCCAACTAACTGAAATACATGTGGATTAGTGGAACTCGGAGCACTCGTACAAAGATGAACATTTGTTGCGGTCATTGGGTAAAAACTGAAGCTTAAATAGGAGCCTAAAATGTCTTTTGGGACACACATTTTTTTTGAATAAACTTGAAGGACTATTCTAATTTACAAACAACTTTAAAATGACCGTTGATAAGAATTGTATTCAAGCAAGCCCGACTAAATCTAGAAACCATCGGATGTAGGTAGAACAAATGTTGGCGTCGTTTATCGTTTTCGTTCTCACGCAAGTTCCCGATGTGAAAACAAACGTCATCGAACGAGAAGACCTATGTATGAACATGCCGGATGTGAAAGGTCGTAAGTAAAATTCGGTTTTATCCATCTCCAACTGATTTCTCATCACATTTGTTTTTATGGAATGCCAAGATAAAATTCCAACATGAATGTTTCTTGGGGGTGATTACGGTCAGAAATTCTGTCAATAGCAAGAGAAAGGGCAACCCCGTGTAAAATGCCCATAGAAGGGTCGCGGAGGGGTCCGGAAGCTCACAGACAAAATGGCGTACTTTCAGGCTCTGTGGAGGCTGAATTCTAATACTAGCCGAATGGCATGATATTTCTAAATATCAAACTATGAATATAATGATTCCCCAATTTGTGAAATACTAACAACATTCCCATAACAAAACATCTTATTTGGGATTTATTTGGTTTGTTTATCATTTACTCGGATGTCTTGTTGTTTTTGTTATGTCTGACTATGCAAGCAAATGCTCTTATCTTCTCACGTGCTGAGTGTAGAATATCATCGTATAACCTTTACTTGGTTCAAACACGGCTCAAAATAAGTGTGACTTCTAAATTGCTGTGACTGGTTTTATTGAATTTAATCCGTCCCAGTCACTTCCTACGCACTCAGACAATATTGTCACGAACTTCTCTCGGCGACACCGTATCGACATCGTGTTGATATAAACCCAGCACAAGGATACAATTTGAGGGGTTTCGGCCACGTTTCACACCGGATTGTCTGGAAAATGTGTCTGTCAATTTACGACATCGCGGCAGTTGCCAGCAATAATGAAGGAACGCCAAAGACAGCCAGGAGACAATTGATTTACATTTGTGCTGCTGACAATGTCATCTGGCGCTACTTGTAAAAACCATGTTACCTACAAACATATGAGCTCCAATCATAACACAGGAGTCTTATTTTAGGCGGCAGGGGCCAGACCGGGCCGTGCACTGATACTATTTATACATAACTAAAATATCCCACTGGGTGATTACATTCAGCAGTTTACATAAGGTCACGTGAATGCCCGTCCCTGCCCGGATAATATGATGAATTCCCCCACAAATATGCCTCCGCCTCTGACGTCAGTCCGGTTGCTTAGCAACGGTAAGTCTGGTTAATGATGGCGGCCAAGGCCATGTTGCTATGGCAGGCCCTGAGTAATTATATAGACCGACGGTGCCGACTGTGGGGTCATCCAAAACTCTTTGTCCTCACCGCTGCGAAAATGAAATTTAGTCTGTCGCCCCTGGATGGCGAGGCTGAGCAAAGACCACGAGATGTTATCGTATATTCTTTCCTGTAATGCTATCTGTATATGATAATATTTGCTCTGTATGACTGAT